CATGTGGTGCTGGGGGATTGAACCGTGGTCCCTGTGCTTTGCTAAGCTTGTTCTAAGTAGGTGCTTTAGACCACGGAGCCATCTCACCAGCCCCCAGACCTTTTTTTTAAAAAAAGTTTTTAAAATTTACTTATTGTTGAGACAGGGTCTATGTAATCGCCGGCCTGGAACTCCTAGCGATCCTCCTGCCTCAACTTCCTGAGTCCTGCGATTACAGGCGTGCACCACCACACCTGGCTTAACCCTATTTTATTTATTATTAAAATTATTTTATTTTTCAGACAGGCTCCCTTAAACTATCCAGACAGGCTTCGAACTCGCGACCTTCTTGCCCCTGAGCCCCTGTACAGGATATTAAAAAGAGTGCACAGTGCCTCCCTAGGCACCACTTTCATAAAATAACTCTCCTGCGTCAGTCATTTGAATACTGCTCCACCCCTTCTTACCAGTAACAGCCTCTGAGACCACATAAACCCCAAGGAGGGGGGGCGCGTCCCTGAGTCCCTCCCTGGAGGCCGCCGCTCTTCCGCCCTCCGACTCCGCCGTCCCAGGACCCGCCCCCTCCCCAATTAGCCTCTCACCCTCAGTCCACGCCTCACGCTCCAAGCCCCGCCCCAAGGCCTTCCGCGCCTCCAGCCCGCGCCCGGCATCCCAGGCCCGCCCCTTTGCCGAATGCCCGCCCCCGCCTCCTCGTGGCGGGCTCCTCCCTCTCAGAAAGAACCCGGGGAGCCCCGCTGACCGGAATAAGCGTCCCGTCCCACCCTCTCGTCGCACGTTCTAGTGCCGGCTTGAGGCAAAAATCCTGAAGAGGGTGCCAGGAAACCCTAGGTCCCGTCCCCTCGAGACACCCTCCGAGTCCCGCCCCTTTGCACTCCCCCGCCCCTTTGCTCCCCCGCCCCCTCCTCCGGGGAGGCCCCGCCCCTGTTACGCACTCTCCTTCGAGCGCAGGCGCAGTGTGGCGCTCGCCCTGCGTACCAGTGCGGACACGTCGGCTGCAGCTCTAGCCGCCAGGGGGCGCACGTCCAGCCGTGACAGCAGCCGCCGGGCGCTGGAGCCCGCAGGGGAGGGGAGGCCGCGGCCTGCGTGGGAGAGGGGGACAGGTCAGCGCCGACGCTGAGCCTCGGCGAACACCCGTGATTCCAGACGTCCAAAGACATAGGAGTGCTCAAGATAACTTTAGAGCAGCCAGGCATGGTGGAGCACGCCTATAACCCCACTACTCCGGAGGCTGGGTCTTGAGGATCCTGTGTCTTTGAGGCCAGTTTGAACTACTTACCGGGCAGGGGAGATGGCTCAGTGAAATAAGCGCTCCCCTGGCAAGTGCAAGGGCCTGAGTTCAATCCCCGGTTCCGCAAAAAAAAAAAAAAAAAACCCAAAAACAAACACACACCAAAAAACCCCAACCAAAACCAAAAACCATGATGAACTACTTACCAAGTTCAGCTTACAGGCCTTCCTAGATGACACAGTGAGACCCAGTCTCAAAAAACAAAACAAAAACTCCAACAACAATACATGTAGAGTGCTAGGGGCATAGAGGTTGTAACCGTCCAGTGGTAGAGTACTTATCTAGCATGCTTGCCTTATTGTTGGTTTCTTCTCCCACAGGCCTGACCACTGCAGGTATGCTCCCTGACACACCCTGGCCCAAGATTTCCCTGGAGATTGCTACTTGACTGCAGTTGTCCTGGACACCAGTGACTCCCCACAATGGCTGAATTTCCCTACAGCTCCCAGTCTGTCCCCTAAGAACTGTAGATGACAAACTTCTTCCACCATATCTCTGGGGATCATGCTTCTCTCAGATATCCTCAGAGGACATCTACTGCCCCTGGTACTCCTGCGAGCCCTGATTCCCTTTCAGATATCCCAGCCAACCTCTGTTATTGCATGGAGCCCACAGGGGCTCCATTTCCCCACATGCCTCACTACTAGGTCCATGACTGCCCCCTCCATAGGTCCCGGGTTCTCCACCTAGGAACTCTCTTCTCCCTGGATCTTTATCTTCCTCTAGGGGCCCTGCCCATTAGCTCAATTGTTTAAGTGTCTACTTAAGTGAAGGCAGTCAACCTCAGGATAGTGTGGTTTGATTCCCATATCCTTATGCCTTACCAAACCTGCCCTTAAGGCGTCCTGAGCCAGCCCTCCTCACCAAAACAAATCCTTCATCTCCCTCTGCTGAAGGTTTGTTTTTATTTTGGCCCAATGTCAGGTTGAGTAGAGGGCCTGAAGCACTGGTCATTGTGGATAGGCCCTATCCCTGCTTTGTCCACTCTGCTGTGTTTACTACCTGCCAAATAGAAATGGTGAGGAGGGGCCGGGGAGATGGCTCAGTAGAATAAGCGCTTAGGGCCTGAGTTCAATTCCTGGTTCTTCCAAAAAAAAAATGAGGAGCAGATGGGGGGCAGGGCTACAATTGATGTGCATCGTCCCTCCATGCCCTGCCTGGGTACTTCTTCTGTTCCCTGAATTTGGCTCCAATGCTGAGAGCAGGCAGGATGAAGCACAAGCCTAAGGCACATTTGTTGTGCAGTGTGTGCCCATCATCTGGCAGCTGCCCAGGCCTGGATGCTTAGGCCGTCTATCTGGTTCCTGGCTTCTGGATTGCGCAGTGACCTACCTGGCTGCAGCCAAAGAGGATTGACTTTCATGGTTCTTAGGAGTGCGTGGTCTGGGTCTGCCTTAGGTGCCACTTCTGTCAACTGAGGAACCTGGACTAGGCTCCTCTTTCCACCAAAAGGATGCTGTTATTTTAGGAATAGGAAGTGGAAGTTGAGGTCCCGAGAAGTTAGGGCATCTTCTGACTACTGAGAACTGAAAACAAGGATGCAGAACCAGAGCTCAAATTATCAGGAGAATTTACAGTTTCTAACATGTTTCTAACATTGCACCTAAGTAGGTACTCATTAAATTTGCAGAGAAGCCAGGTGTGGTGGCACACACCTGTAATATGAACACTTGGGAGGTTGAGGCAGGCGAATCGCCATGAGTGTGAGACCAGCCTAGGTTTTAGAATGAGTTCAAGGCAAGTTTGGACTACATAGCGAGACCCTGTCTAAAAACAACAACAATAATAAAAATATAGTGAAGTCCAGTATGGTGACACACCTCAGCAATCCCAGCATTCTGGAAGGCTGAGGAAGGTGGATTGAAAGGTTCAGCCCAAACTGGGCACAGTGGTGCATGCCTGTAATCCAAGCACTTAGGAGGCTGCAGCAGTAGGATCACCACAAGTTCGAGGCCAGCCTGGGCTACATATTTCAAGTCCAGCCTGAACTACAATTTTTTTTTTGAACTCAGCATGGGCCACTTAGCAAGACCTTGTCTCAAAATAAATGAATTTAAAATGGCTGAAGTGGGGTCAGGGAGATGGCTCAGTAGGATAAGCGCTTGACTGGCAAACGCAAGGATCTGAGTTCAATCTCCGGTTCCGTCAAAAATAAAATAAAATAAAATAAAATAAAATAAAATAAAATGGCTGAAGATGTAGCTCAATGTGGAAGCCCTGAGTTCAATCCCTAGGAGAGGAGGAGGAAAACCGAAATAAAAAGAAATAATAGGGCCAGGGAGATGGCTCAGTGGAATAAGCGCTTCCCTGGCAAG